CCGTCCCTCCGCGGCCCCCGGCCGCCGTGGGGCGGGGCCGGCGGCGGGTGGGCCGAGGCTTCCGCTGGGGTCATCGTGGGGTGAAGCTCGTCCTCGGTCCCCGGACGCCCCATGACCGCCCCGCGTCGCCCCCAAACGACATCTACACGGACCCTTTCACGGCCCGGTTCTAGGTTTTTAGAGTTAAGAACACTAACAATGCGTAAAGAAGCTTTGGAAGGCCCGCGGGTCCCAGATGGACACCCGGGATCCCGTCCCGGCCTCTTACTAAAAACGGAGATGGAGCCGCCATCTAGGGGGGAGGCCTGAAGTCAGTCCTGGGCAAGGAGCCCAGCCCAACCTCCACGGATCCACCCGGGAAGACGTTAATGTCCCGTCCATCTCACGCTCAGCCCCTGCCGGGCACCGGCCACCACCCTCCCTGGGTGGCAGGGTCCCTTTCCCAGAAAGGGAGGGAGTCCAAAGGAGCCTTGTCTTGGGCAGCACAAAGCCCCCAGATGTGTTGGAGGGTGGCTTGAGTTAGGACCCCTCACCACATCCTAGTAGGAAATCAGCCCAGAGAGGCCAAGAGCTTGTGGAGGTCACCCAGCCAAGACCCATTCCTCATTCACTGGCTCCAAAATCCTGGTGTTTTCCACTGGTCCATAAACCCTGGGTCTGGTTGGCCAGGACTGTGGGAACAGGAACATGTCTGTGGTGGGACCCTGACAAAAGGCGGGAACCTATAGCCAAAGCAGCTTTCCCTACCCCTCGCCGGAACTGTGTCCCCCACCATCTGCCCCCTGTGGGCCCTGCTCACCTCCCTCATCACCCCTGTCTTCTCTTCTGCATGTGACCAGTGGCACTGAACCTCCTGTCTCTGAATCACACCGTCTTCATCCCCATCCTGGCCGGCCAGTCCTGTTCCCTGCCCTCTGGTCTCCACCGCGAGACTCTTCCCCCAGGTGCTGTCATTACCCGAGGTCTCTGCTGTGATCTCCCTTCTCACCTGGATTCTGTCTCTATTCCCACTGTGGTGTTCTTAATCACTTCCAGATTCTAATTATACTTACATATTTCTACATCTGCCTTGTGTCTTTGGCTTCACCCCACTTAAAGATGCCAGAGAAGAGACGGCAGACACTCTGATTTGCTTCCCACTGACCCCCCCAAAATGCCCAGAAAAGGACCCAGTACCCAGTAGATAACCACTTAATACATATTGAGTGAAAGAAGGCACAGAACCCTGAATGCAGAATTGAAAAATGTTCATATTTACAATGCTCAGAATCAACATCTGGTCCCTGTGAAGGAGAGGAAGGGAGTCTCACCCGGAGAAGGCAACATGAGCCCCCCACGCAGAATGCTAGGGTAAAGTGGCAGTTCTGTGTAGTGTCCTCTCTTTGTGGCCCTGTTTCCTTCAACACTGTCCTCCTCAGGCACCTCTAGGAGAACTCCTTTATAGCCTGTAAAACCCTCCAGGGCAGTGTTCTTTCTCTTGGAAAGCAATCACCAACTCCGGCTGGGGTTGCCCTGGGTAGGAGGGTGGGAATCTTGCAGGTGGGACTGGCCCACTCCCAAAAAGCTGGGGCTTGGAGTGTGAGCAAAGTTGGATATTTTGTTCACTGATGTGCTGCTGGCCTGAAGAGGCTTTGTAATTCCTCCAGGGGGAAGGGAGGGGAACCCTGCAGAATGCCTGAGGGGAACAGAAGTCCAGGTCCTGCCTCAGAAAATGTACACCCCTACGGACTATGCTGTGGGGGTGGGGGGATGAGAACATGAGCCCCTGAAGGAGGAGGGAGGGCGGCAGGGTGGGAAGGACAACACCTGGTGAGCCAAATACCTGCCAGCTGGACTCTAGCCTGCGGCAGTTTGGTCTGGGGGGGGGTGGCTAAGGTGGGGGGGAGAGGTGCACACTAGTGTGTGCACTAATGGCTAACAATTATTGAGCACAGATTCCACCTCAGACCAAGGTCCAAACCTTTCATAGAGCTCCACCGTAATTATGATTCCCAATATACAGATGGGCAAACTGAGCCCCAAAGACACGTCCAGAGCTTTCCTGGAGGTCGGATGCCTGGTGAGTGGGGGAGCCAGGAGTTCAGTAGCCCTTGAGAAGGAGCACCAGAGACGTACCTGGACCCTGAAGCCTGTGTGTCTCCAAAATGGCAGGCACCTGGCACGTGCTAGCTAACTAGCCAATGGATGTTTATATCTGTCTCTCATTGGCTACCTTCCCACCAGGAAGATGCCCTTCCCTAACCTGTGCTGACAGCCCTGCAGGGGTCCTTCCAACCCCCATTTTACAGAGAAGAAAATGGAGGCTAAGAGCCAGTCAGATGCCGGAACCAGATCTGACGGTTTTCCCTCCCTGCTGCCTGCACCAGCAGCCTCTGGCTCCACTAGAACACAAGCATCCGAAGAGCAGCCTAGAAAACGTCATCATTTGTATCTGCTGGGGAGGGCATCTGTCAGCAGCAAAAGGTCACAGTGCTAAATGGGAAGGGACGGTGGGAAGAGGGGGGAAGGATGATCTCAGAACTCTGGGGCTTGGGAGAAAGCCCAGTGGGGTGGAGGGAGGGGCAGTGTGGAGGGAGGTAGTGAGAGACAGGCTTTTAGTACTTCCTAGTTTTTCCTGCAGTGTCTGCAGCTCTACCAGAGAGGTCCTGTGACCTTCGGAGCTCTTCCCCTGGGACCACAGGTGCCCAGGACAATCTGTCCCTGGGCAGCCTCTTCCCAGAACCCTTGGGTTGGGATGCTGGGGCGAGGGCAGAGTCTTTGCAGCCCTCCTTGGGGCCGAGGAGACAGATGGCTATTAGTGGAAACTTTGAATGGTGTCCGAGGAAGTTCTGTGCGCTCTCAAACCACCTGGGTGCCCCCAGCTCGTGCAGGTCATTGGGATCTCAGCCAGGTGGTGCTTCTCCTGCCTGCCTCCTGCCTGCTGCGTCCGTCATATGTCAGCAAAGGAAGAGGCCCTTGGCTTACTGGGCCCTGCTGGGTGCCCAGCTCCTGTGGGCACTTCCCATACTTCCTCATTTAATCTTCATTACAGCCCAAGAGGCAGGAGCAGCCAGACTGGAATCCAGGTTCTTCTCTGGCTGCTTTTTGGGGGGAAGTCCTGCCCCAGTCTCACTCACTGCCCACTAGAGAAAAGCAACTGATGGAGATGGCTTAGCTCTGCTCAGCCAGCTCGTGGACCATTAGGGTTTCAAGGCCTTTCTTGAGTCTGTGGGCTCCTGAAAGCTTCCCTTTCTCCCATCTGTTTAGGGTCCATGTGTTCAGGTTGGAGGATGGGACAAGGAAGTGGAAAGAGGAAGGAAGAGTGGCAGAGAAGTCAAATGTAACCCGGACAAGTGTCCCCTGTTGTCTCCCTCCACCAAGACAGGGGCATGAGGAGGGCGGGGAGCTGGGGAGGGCGGGGGGGGGGAAATCCCAGCAGGATGCCATCAGCTGGGCGCTGGCGGCTCACATGTCTAATTCTAGCAAATCTGGAGGCTGAGATCTGAGGATCACAGTTCAAAGCCAGCCCAGGCAGGAAAGCCTGTAAGACTCTTTTATCCAGTTAACCAGCAAAAGCCGGAAATGGAGGTAGGGCTCAAGTTGTAGAGTGCCACCCTTGAGCAAAAACACCAAGTGAGGGGCTAGGAAGGTGGCTAAATGATAGAGTGCTTGCTTCTCATGCATAAGGCCCTAGGTTCGATTCCTCAGTACTACATAAACAGAAAAAGCAACGGGGTGCCGGAGGCTCATGCCTGTAATCTTAGCTACTCTGCAGGCTGAGATATGAGGATCATAGTTCAAAGCCAGCCCAGGCAGAAAAGTCCGCAAGACTCTTATCTTCAATTAAAAAACAAAACAAAACACTAGAAAACTGAAAGTGGCGCTGTGGCTCAAGCGGTAGAGCGCTTGCCTTGAGCTGAAGAGCTGAGGGACAGCACCAGGCCCAGAGTTCAAGCCCCACGACCGACAAAAAAAAAAAAAGCCAAGTGAATGCCTAAGGCCTTAAGTTTTGTGCTCACTACAGAAGGCAAAGAAAGAAAGAAAAAAGGAAGGAAGGAAGGAG